ACTTGGAATCCTGAGGTATGCCACAGATGGAAATGGCTGCTGGGACAGAGAAGCTTGAAGATTTGGGCTTTGGCTTGGAGAAAGAAAACAGAATTCAATGTTACCTGGTAAATGCATTTGATTTTCTATTTTGCTCAGATTATATTGCTCTGCTTTTTCAATCGCAGCTGTAAATCACACTTTCCAAAATAATCAGATTTGCATTTTAAGTTCAAGTTTCAGCTTTGTGGTGTCCCACTTCTTCGGAAAGAAGTTATATTAATAAAATTAAAAAAAAAGCAAAAAAACCCCATCTTATTGCAAGTGTGTGAGCACACTCACATAAATCTGAGCTTGCCTGAATCGCATATACCAAAGAACAATGAAATTCACAAGCAACACTCCAGGGCTTTTTGCTGAAAATATTTCAAATAGCTTTTTTCAGTGTATCACAGGTTTTAGGCCCTTTGTACTGAAACTTGTAAGTTACAAATTAAATGCCTGATTTGTGGTTGATCTTAAACACATGCTAAAGACAAGTCTTTAAGCTAATGTGTAACACTAGTGTCCTACGTACTTGACGAAGATCACTCATTTGAGTGGGTTGCTAATACAAAGAACCTCCCCAACAGAAATGTCTACCATGGTGCTGTCCTAGATCTTAAAATACTGAAGAAAATCAGGCACATGTGCTGCAAACACACTAGTTTAATGACTCACAGGAGACCAGCACTGGCAATAAATCTGAGGAAAGCATCCATCCATTTTAACAGATTTACTCAAGTTTGAAAAGTGAACTTAATCAAAACTTAATCAAAAATACCACCTAACACACAACACAGCGAAGACATCTGTGGACACCTGTATTGCCCTGGAAATCTGACCTTTAATGGCAGCGTGTTCTGGAAAGGCCCCAGTAGTTCTTTTAGATGAAGAGACTGGATTGAGAGCAGCCCGGAGGAGGAACTGGGGAGTGGCAGTCAACAAGAAGCTCCTCATCACCCACCAGTGTGTGCTTGCAGTCCAGAAACCAGTGTGCTGGGCTGCATCCTCAGCAGCGTGAGCAGCAAGGCGAGGAAGAAGATTCTCTCCCTCTATTGCAGCTCTGGGGCAACACAAACAGGACATGAAGCTGCTGGAGCAAATCCAGAGGAGGCCACAGAGATGATGCAAGGGCTGGAGCAGCTCCGCTCTGAAGACAGGCTGAGAGTGCTGAGCTTGTTCAGCCTGGGGAGGCTTAGAAGGCTTTGGGGAGACCTTAGAGCAGCTTCTAGTGCCTAAAAGGGGCTGACAAGAAACCTAGAGAGGGATAATTTACAAGGACATGAAGTGACAGACAAAGGGGAATTAAACTGACAGAAGGGAGACAGAGATGAGATTCTGGGAAGAAGTTCTTCCCTATGAGGATGGTGAGGCGTTTGCCCAGAGAAGCTGTGGCTGTCCCATCCCTGGCAGTGTTCAAGGCCAGGCTGGACAGGGCTTAGAGCAACCTGGTCTAGTGGAAGGTGTCTCTGCCCGTGGGACACATGCATTTCCACAACGTGTACTGCAAGGAGCTAAGGCGATGGAGGGCCCCGCCGCCTTCCTCAGTGCTATGGTAGTGCTGCGCGGCCGCCGCACGCTACGCAACCTCCCCCGGGAGAAGAGGGAAAGCCGAGAAACCCGCGGAATAGCGGGAACAAGGAAGAACCGCATCAAGTAGATGAGGAGGAGGGAGGGCGAAGAGCCACTACGAGGGACCGGGACCTGCCCCAGGCAGCAGCGTTTGGCGGCCCCGACTGCCCCCTGGCGTCGAATAGGGCAAGACTCCGTCTGTGGGACGGTGAGGGCCTGCGCCGGGACACGTGGTTATCATCGCAGCGCCATGGTATGAACAGCGAGGGCATGGTGTACGGCTCGCAGAGCAGGCGCTGGCGTTGCCTTCCTTCCTCCAGAGCTACTCAGTGCAGTGTGCCCAGAAAAAGGGTCTCAGGGACCTTCTGGAACAAGAAGGGGAAACGACTTCAGTTCTTCCTCCCCACAAACACTTTTGTGAAAGCGCTACTGCCACCTTGAGGTGCATTATCGGTTTACAGCAGTGGCTGTCACACACACCCTTAATTCAATAATCCTCTAGTGTTCAGTGAAGGCCCCCCCGTCTTTGTCAGAAACCATGAGATGGTACATGAAAATAAAACAGCCAACCACAAATGGGCTTTTGAAAAGTCACCTTCTCACTCTTGGTTTATTCTAGACTTGGGCATAACTATTGTTAGCATCTCCGAACCACACAGCCACCTGTGCAGATGCTAGATTTTCAGATACTCAAAACCCCCAAGGTAATAATATAACAAAAATCAAGTAAGTGGTAATACGAAGCACCTCCTTTAAACTCAGGAAGTTTCACCACACATTTGGTTTGGACACATAGTAAGACACTTGGAGAATTGAAATCAGATCCAGCACATCATACATCACCTCACAAAAACACAGTAAAAGTCATCCTAAACATAATTAACTTGAATCATGTTGCAGGACCCTTACAAAAAGAAAGGAACACAAAGGTTAATTTGCTATAAAATACAATTCACATGAACAATAGGAAACAATTAAAAACAGAAACCTAATAGAAATAACACTGTTAAAGTGTAACAGAAAGCAATGCCATCCTGCAAAGTGAATGAAGGTGGGATAAGGGAAGGCTTCACCCAGATTTGTTATGTGAGGCCAGAGGATTTCAGATGCCTCATGTCTCTTCCTTATTTGTAGACATAACATGAACACATGAAGTCGGCGTGCCACTTCATTTTCTATCAACGGGAAAAACTATTTGTTCACCACAACTTGTTTCTTAACAACGTGTTGCTTAATAAAAATATCAATGCACTAGAGAACAAAGTTGTTTGAGGTAATCAATCCTGCCTTTCTGTACTTTCTGCACATCAAAGAAAAAAGTGCTTCAGATATTGAAAAAGTAGTAGGGCATTCTCATATGAGTAATAGGGATTCTTTCAGACTGAATATGACAATACTTCAGATTTTCTCCCTACCAGTTACTGGTACATGGCACCTTATCTATATCTATATGTGTGTTTAGTTATATTATAAGCAAAAAAGTTTTGCACAGGGGAATTTTAACGGGGGGAGCGGGGGGAAGGGGAGGTGAGGGTTGAAGAGTGGTGGTGGTAAAAAGAAAAAAATAAATAAAGGGCCCAAATTGCAGGAAAACAGCTTTTCAAGTGGGTAAACAGTTGGTCTGCAGGCCAGAGGCCACCATTTAACAGAGACCTGGCCCAGTGAGACTGAATAATTTCACCCTGTAATTACATTTCTTAACTTAATTTTAACATTTCAGCCATTTGTGTGTTTGGAAACATTCCGAACATTACAGTTTTCTCATTAGAAGCACTAGATATGAAAGACAAAAGTTTTATTTTAAATATAGTGAGGTTTAAAAACAAAGAGCAACTTCAATACAAAGCACTTTCACACAAAGCAAGTTATATCCTGCATCTGTCCATCTAAAATAAGTTTAACAAAGCAAGTTACTTTGGCACGTTCTGTAGGTAATTCCATACACAAAACAACTTCATATTTAAGGAAATTGAAGTATAGAAGGGAGGGAAGAAAGTTTTACAGAATACTTAATTAGATGGAATAGCTGCCAACATTACATGTCCTGTTCTCAATCTGTATAAGGAATTTAAAGAGATGAAATGGACTGTGCCCATAGAATAAAGCCATAGAAGAAAATAAGTATTTGTTTTGCGAGTATTCCTTCTGCATTCTGGTGTCACAACCTCAGACTTGCTAGCCATCACTTTGTAGAGAAAAGGGGAGGTAAACCACTAGCAATTTAAAGACTTACCAAGTGAATATACAGCAGGATTATCCAGACCAGACTGACATGAGTACTGAAAGAACTAAAAAATCCTCCCCACCATGCAAGTAAACATGAAGTTTAGAAGCACTGCATGCTTCATTGCTTCTTCCTGTCTTTTTCTGATGATGAACTGACAAGAAGTACATTTTCTGTAGAATCCAGAGGGGTGGGAATACTGGTTTACAGCAGCACATGCTATCTGCTTAATGTTAGAACTGTTACCTGTGTCATCAGAACAGAAAATTTAGTGGACCATCACCCAGGCTATTAAAGAACATGGAAAGCATTGCAGTGGTGCAGCAGCAGACAAAAAAACAAACAAAAACCAAACACACACACACACACACACACACACAGACACACAAACCCACAAGATAATTCTACATCATCACAGCAAAACCTACAAAATTACCACCTTTTTATCTCCATCATTCTTGTTAGTAGCTACTGATGGAAATTCCTGTAGCACAGGGCACCATAGGATAAGAAACCTTTTTCAAATGCACAGAAGAGCTATTAAGCCACCTGCAAATGATCCACAAGCAGCAGCACTTTACAAAACCTAATTAACACAAGGCCTAAAAGTTGTATTTGTGATCCACAAAACCCCTGGATTTCAAAAGTGAAGTGTTGAAAGATTTTTCAAAAGTTAACTTCTACCAAATATTTATAGAAGGCACATTTGGCAAAAGCAGTATTTTTTAATTTTTATTTTAGCTTTTACAGAGATTAATACAGTGCATCACAGCCTTGTATAAATGCCCATCTTTTCTAGACAGGTATCATTCAAATTCATCAAGATTTTATTCAGACCAAGTCCACTACTTAAGGCAGAGTAAAATACTTCAACCTTAAGAGCCTTGTTCCCTTATTTTTTGTTATCATTGTCTTAAATAAGCATATCCAGCTTAAGCCTCTGAAAACAGAACTCCTTTCATGTAGAAAACTCACAGTACACACCTAAATAATCAGAGAAACTCCTTAACAATCATGTTACTTTCTTAATGAAAAAAACAGTAATTAACAAAGAGATCAACAATTAAAACGCCAGGTCCTGAATCTGTGTTTTGCAGATGGAATTTAAGCCTTAAAATAAGGTTGAGGTTTGTTTATGCTTTATCAGTTGACTTGCATAAACGTACAAGGAAGTCTTCCAAGGCTATATGGGCACTTCCACTGGACTGGAGCAAAGAGAACACTTGACAGACATCTAGATCAGCAGTAAAAAAATCCCAACCAATCAAAAACCACTGAACAAGTACCTATTAATAATTCATGTATGAACATCTTTACTGTAGAGTAGAAGTATGACTAGAACTGAAACTGGAAAGGAAATTCGGGTACTAGACTGAATCACCATTAACGCATTATAATCTGAGTTGTCCATTTGGTAAAGTAGCCTCCAAAAAGGATGAAGCCTCTATGTTTGGTTCTCTTTCAACTAAGAAAGTTTTAAAGTGAATTTTAGCACTCATGAACAGATGCCAACAAATCGCTTATTTTGTCAAAGAGGGGCACTTGTCCCAGAGTGAAGCAGCTCCCTGCCAGTTTGCAAACGGTGCCGTTACAAAAGCATCAGCACTAAGCACGAGACTATCTAGTTCTCCATAGATGTTCTCCTCCCTGTCTGAGCTGACTATAAGCAAGCACACCAGTTTGCAGCATAGTTGAAATGAGATTAACTGAAGGACATCGCGAACCTGTTCTACGTAAAGCAGAAAGGGAAAACATAGTTGTCATCAACTGGTCCTGCACTGAGTGGCCCTTAAAGATTAAATATAGTTTTTACAGACTTAAGTCAGAATCCCCTCAAGCAAATTCTTACTCAAACAATCTAGCAATAAACATTACTTTTGTTTGGTTTCCAGTGACAGGATGCACAGAAACAATCAGAAGTCTCCAAGAAGCTTCAAAAAGGGCTTGTAGAGATGCTAACCAACTTCAATCAATTATCAATGTTTAAACACTGCCTATAAACGTTTGTAAGACCCAAGAAGAGTACTGCAGTTTGGACAGCTGTGATCCACATCCTTTAGGGCATCAATGCAGAAAGGAATTAAGCAGCAGCCAGCTACACACCTGCAAAGCAAAGCAGAAACAAAATCAATCTTTTATCACTTGTTACATACATAGGAAGATAAAATTTATTTCCTGCAAAAGCCATCAGGAATACTGGTGCCTTGAAGCTGTAGGAAGAGCACATATGGTTATGGAATCCATCACTAGTGTTCTTGAGCTATTTTAAGGTCATACAGGACTTAATGCAGATGTAGGCTATTCAAACGTTCAGGGTCAGGTACAAGACAGAATGAGACTGCAACAGAGCTGAGAGCTTTGTCACTCCTTAGAGCTATAAAAGGACATGTAAGAAGAGAAAAATGAAGTGCAAATTGGAATCAACCTACCCCAACAGGAAAAGGCCACCACATGACAGCCACGTCAAAGCTCCTGAGTCATACGAGAGACGTGTCACTATCATCTGATTGCAGGAAGGGCAGCACATCTGAACTGGGCGGTCACAAAACACTACTGGTTGCTGCACGTACACTGTCTGAACTGTAACTGAGCAGAAAAACACGCTATACTCAACGGGTAAATAAGGAAAAAAAGTTAATCAACTTCCTCTGAGCTAGAACCAGCTGTTAACTCAAGTATTTTGAGGCTTAGAGTAATGAAATGTGCAGTCACAAGGAGAAATCACCATGGTATTTACTAATGAAGAAACACACTGTCTTAAGAATAAAGCTGCATTAAAAAAACCACGGAGTGCCAAATGATGTTATTGATACTAGTGCACACTGAAGGATTCACAAGAACTTATTCACCTTATTCCCTTCAAAAATATGTCTGGAAGATGGAGAACAACTCTGAACCACGATGTTTCATGTTCTGTGCAACACTTATTAAACAGCCACTCAACATCTCCTTAACATGAAGTACAGTACAGTTTGAGGCTTACTGGGGTTATGCAGTGGTGAAGGCTGTCCCACATACGGGGAAGAGTTCATTCTTTTCCCATCTGGTTTCTGGCCATGTTCTGGGGTAGGATAAGGCTGAGGATAGTTCACACTGATTCCTGTTGTTTCCTCATAAGAAGGTGGTGCAGATGGAACAGGGATGCCACTCGGTGCAGACATTGTATCTAAAACATAAGAGAGAAAGTTGTAACAGAAGACATTCTTTATTGAGGGCAAGTGACAAGTAATTAGGCTGTATTCAGGCAGAAATTGAGAAGATAGCTAGATTAAAATGTACCTTCACTAGTGTAAATTGTATTGACTATTAATTCTTTCTGACAGTGTTAAATGTTAATTTTCATATCGTTGTTGCTTCCTCCCCTTTTCCTTTTCATAAAGTAGTTTTTACACTTTCTCTCCACCACTGCTACTTCCTTTATAAATTAAAAATGGTACAGCAAGGACATCAGGGCATCTTCAGTGGTATACTAAGCTATCTGGCAGTTTCTTCTAATTCTCCAAGAAAAGTATTTCAGATCCCTCTTGTTCTACTGGACAAAACTAAACAAAACAATCAAGCAGTATGATAAGCCACATGGTAGCTGCTAACTAACTTGAGCCTGGTTTGTGGTGAAGTTCAAATATTTAAGAGACTATCTCTGCTGTAATTTGAAGTAATAATAATAATAATAATAATAATAAAGTTATATTAAAGAAAAAAGAAACCCCATAGCACTATTGTGAATGAGTAGGAGAAACTGCAAATATGAGGGGGAAGAAGGAAAACAAAGCATGTTAAGAAATAAAAATACCTACAACAATATAACATTACTTTCAAAGCAACAAACTTTTAAAACAGCAGCATACTGGATATATGCAATGTCTTGTGGTACAAGACATCAGGTATTCTAAATTCAACCATTCTCCCCACTGTTCCTATCACATCTTGGGACACCATTGCACTGCAGGGCTATAACAGGACCTAAACACACCCAACATAGCTTTCTAAGTTGGCTCTCACACACTTCAGTTATCTGCAAGGTTCACAGCCCAACTTCCTTTTCTACCTCACAAGATAATGTTGTCTCCTCCCAGAGAGGAACCAAGGAGGAATGAGGTTGAATGCAGACACAGGCTAATTCAAAGCTGAACATTAAAGATCAAAGTTCAGACCCAGTTAAACTCTCAAGGCCAACCAGTGAACAATCCTTCCTTCACAAGCTGCACTGTTGATTTTTACAATCCAGGAAGTATGCTGTAATTTGGCTGCCCAATATGCAGCGTCACTATAGAGAAGGATAAGGAAAAGAGTAGTGAAAAATCAAGAGAGTAACATTGCCCATGAAGACCTTGCTGCTTTTCTGGCCCAGAAGATAAGGGGTGAACTGATAAAAATCTCAGCATAAAACCTGGCTAATCCTTAAAATTTCTGAATGGCCTTTGGGGACTTTAATTCCCAAATAAACAGAAGATCACAGCTTCTTTCACACTGAAATCAAGACACAGTCACAGAAGACAATGGAGGAACAACAGTTAGTGGAGAACCAACTTAAACTGTTATACAATGACCTAGTACACAACAGTTTCTGCACAGAGTGACCTGAATAATCCTTTAAAGCTAGAATGATTATTTTATCAGAGACATTATTATTTCAAAGTAGAGAATACTCTTGTGAAACTATGCACCTACAACCACCTTCTCCAAGATTACCTCACTCCATTCTGTTTACATGTGAGGATGATGTCCATTTGCTGTTTTCAGTATATTGCAATGCTTAAAAGCACCAGTTTACCAACCAATTCAATAAGATTCACCACAGAAATTAACATAGCTATTTTATGCATATATCTGCAACTTTTCCACTGCATACTCTAAAAAATGATCTCTCATCACCCTTTTAAGATATCTGTGTGACAGCCACCCTGATGTCAAAGCATCCCAGACTTCTAAATTAACACATGGAGTTCCACTATTAGTGAGTTATGAAAGAACTGCCCAATAAACCCCTTTTTCTTTCTTTTGGAGTCTTAAAATCTGGCTTTTTGTAGTGTTTAAAATGTACCTCTTTTCACTTATCACCCAATACATACATCACATTCTTTATTCAGGAGAACTGATTCCTTGGCAGCTTGACTTCAGCTGAATACAAGCTGACAGTGTCATGAAAGTGGCAAGCACCATGCAGGGGTGCATAAGCAAAACCAGTATCCATAGGGAGCTGAAAATGTTCTGGGAAAGCCCCCATGTGAGTACAGTATTTAAGAGACAAAAGGTAAACAGATTCCAAAGAAAAGCATCAAGAACAATCACAGAGGCTAGAAAAGGAATTCTGGGGGGAAGAAAAAAAAAAAAAAAAAAACAAACAAACCAAAACCCGAGTTTCCTTAATTACAAAAGGCCAGAGAGAATACTGAAGATAGACAGGTAGCAATGAAAAACCAAAACTGCTGAGAGCAAACTTTAAGAAAAACTGTAAGAGAAACTTTAATAAGCTTTTCTCAATGTCTATTAATAAGACTCTTTAAGCATTAGATGAATGGCAAGAAAATTATGAAGCTTTCCCTCCTGAAAGTTTTAAGAATAGATACACATGACAAATTATAGATCATTCAGCATTAAATGGATTAGAGAGTCACTTCGTATCTCTTCCAGCTGTATTTTCCATTGTTTCAACATTTGCTTTTGAAAATAAATGCAATGCCTTTTAAGTTTAAAACATCTACTTTTACATATGCTGTTTCAGAAGTGAGATGCTACATCTTCAGAAGAAGGCAAGACCAAATCCTGAACAACTGCTTGCAAATCAGCCCCCTACCCCTGGAGCACATTGCAAGACAGGGTCTAGAACTAACTGAAAACCAGCTTCCTCAGCTTACAAAACAAACACACACTCCCAAAAGCCAACTAACCAGACAACAAACCCCACAACCCCACACAAACACAACCAACAACCCCAACAACCAACAAACTCCACAACCACAAACAACCCACCCAATGCAACTATAAAAAGTTTCTCAGTATCAAATACATTCAAGTTTCAGATAAGATACAACAGTAAATTGATCTGGCAATAAGCATTAACTCAAGGATTAGATAGTAATGAGAACAAAGGTGAGAGGGACATTCTAGAAACCATTCTTTTTTTTATTAGGTAAGACAGCCTCGGTTAGTAAGTAAACTGCAATCTCTCAAGGCACTAATAGACTTTCTATGGTTTCCATTTGTATTTTGCTCCTTGCAAATAGGTGCAGAGCAACATATAAAAATACCACCAATAGAGACATGTCTGGGAAGACCAACTAACAAGTAAAACCTGTTTACAAGGAGAACAAAGGATTAATATTACAAACCAGTCCCAGATCATATAAGAAATTATACAGGATCTTAAGCATCCATAGGGAAGACTTGAAATTTTAACACCTTAAGAAATTGTACCCACCTACTTACAAACCAGCAATTTGTTAACTGAGAGATAGATGGGCACAAAAAACAGGCTGACAGCAGAAGGAGAAACTGATCCCACAAGTTTTGTCTTCTTAAAGCAGAGTCTCAAAAGCTGCTTAGAAGTAATCCGAAGAAGGGAAGACTATTTAGTGACAGGTACCTGACTGGAAGACAAGACAAAGGATAAGACAGGTGACAGGGAAGTCAAATACACTAAAAAGTTACCTGGATGTAGCATATATTAAAACCATTAGGTACCATTTAAAGCCATTGCAAACATTGTTAGACCAACAAGCACACTAGTTGCAAGACCAGGGCTTTAATACTGATATACAAGAAGTTTCCACTTAGATCTGGAAGTTTCAGATCTAAATATTATTAAGCAGATAACTGAGCAGTTCTAGATTCTGTTCCCAGATTCTCACTACTCTCTTGCTTCGGGCCTCTGGAAATGCCTGTGGTAAGACAAAGACCAATAGCTTCAGCTACCCCTCCCACATCATTCTGCTCTTCAGAAGAAACCCTCTTGTATTCCAGGTGCACAATGGTAAGGTGGACACTGACTCATGGTGCCCATGCCCAGCTGCATCCTATCTCTGGGCAGATGAGTCACTGGACTCAATTCATAAAGCAACAAAAGCACCAGCTCTCTCCTCCAGATATTTATTGTTTGTTCCTTTGCTCAAGAGAAAGAATCACAAGCACTTAAAGCTGCAAGCATTTCTCAGCTAAATCATTTCCTCCATCAGCACACATTGGAAAACATTGCCACAGGACAAAGCACCCTTCCAGTTCAATCCTTTCTGCAGAGGTCTATTGCTCTACATACAGAGGAAATCTGGCCTGGAGAGAAAAGGCTGTTAAAAGCCATAGCATTCACAGACCACTCTATTAAAATGAAACCAGATTAGTTACTTATGCTAGCTGGAGACACCAGGAAGATAAGCAACAAATCCTACTGACAGAACAATGCATGGATACTGTTCTCTCCAATGGGGAGTGCAGCACAGCTCTATGCCACTTCTACAACTGCACTAAAGCCACATGAATTTTGGGGCATGGAAGCCTTCTGAAACTGTTGAATATTCAGTAAAACTCTGGGTGTGCAGCAGTTTTTTGCAGGGTTTTGCATTTTCCAAGATTGTATTTCAGTGAATTTAAACACTGCTCCCACTTTAATTCCTAAATTCTAACTCTATACAGTAATCTGAAACCAGGAGGGTCTGCATTTGCTACCCACCCAGAATTGCCAGTCTTAACATGGCAAAAGAAGTTGCAGCCTGTACCTGAGAGCAAATATATATATATTTATATCTATATTTACATATATATTTATATATATTTTATATATAAATATATATAAATTTTATATATAAATATATATATGTACTATATATCTGTAGAAAAGGCACAGCACCTGATTAAACTTTCCTTTTATCTTGCTATTGGAAAAGATGAATTAAGTGAATCAGAATTTCTAACATAACTTATCTGAAGAACTTACCAACCAAGCATTCATTATAAAGGCAAAATTCTTATCGCCTTCTATCATCTTGGGCTTCAGGGTTTGTATCCGACTACAGTCATCTGAGATAAAACTGATGTGAAACTAGCAGCATGCTCAGCAGCAGCTACAAACTGAAGAACTCAGCAGGGCTGAATCTCAGACAAGATGACTGCCCAATAATGTTTGTGCAATTTATTAAAATATAGACTATGACCTACATAGTTTTTTGAAATAGCTGCATAGCATTCCTCAGGACACCCTCCCACAGCATGTGTTTGCAAAAAGCTGGGCAGTTTCTTCAGAATGCTAACTGAAATATCAAACTGAAAAACCTACTATAAATGAGCAGGACTCTTACACTGACCTTCATCAAGATACATACAGGCATTACAGGGAAAATAAGAATGTACATTTATTGTAGTCCAGAAGCTACTCAGGTCTTACTTTAAGTGCTCAAAACAACAGGCTGCCCTGTCATAACCTATACCTGCTACATCTGCCAGGTAAGACACATTCACAAGCTAACTTAATGCTACCATCAGCTCTAGGAAGGGAAATGTATTCAAGATTCCCTTCCTCCCAAGGGGCAAATTTACTGTAGAAGATTAGGGTGCCATGTTCTGTGTCATGCTCCCAAGTACAGAGACAGACAAAGATACAGGATTGCAGTCGTCTCGCCCCTTCCTCCTCACACTCCATTCCTGATGCAGACCAGTTAGGGGCAGAGGCTGGCTCACATGCCTTTCGGGCATCTTCATGTTGTGATAACCTAAAATTGTCCTCTCCACACCCGAACCCCAACACATGTTTATTACCATTTTCTCACCATAGAATGCATCCCCCATCTTACAAAAAATGATATTGCCCAGATGGGCATGTTGTTATGCAGTTTAAAACTGCAGCCTTCTTCTGAACACAGGATGCAAATGTGTACTCTTCAGAACACAGAAAAATATCTTTTGCTCAAGGACAAACGGAAAAAAGGAAAAATAAAAAAGAGGAGGAACAAGTCAAAAGTGGAAATGTAAGGCAAGTCATTCGTGCTTTACCCAATAATTACAGATGAATCATTAGGCAATAATTTTTTTAATCCCAGCTGGTTTCCTGACCTGCACAAGAGTCTAGGAGAAATGGATTCCACAGCAGCACAGAGGTAGCAGCAACAGCACCTCAAGGATAACTGTGGGTAGATAATCTCTGCCCCTTATCAGGAGGCAAAAAGAAAGAGATCTGTACAGTACCCCCACTAACACACCATGTGAGGAGAAACTTATGCACAGATGAGTTGCTCCTGAGAGGCTGGAGGGAAGTACAGAGTCATCCCTCTCTCCCTGTCCAGCCAAATCTGAGCCTGGCACCTGCTTTTAGTGCAATAATGAGTACTGCTCTTCTGCAAACTACCTTACAAAACAGTTTTCCTTATATGAGTTCTTTGTTAGCCACTCAGGTACAAACCAAAAGTACTCTGCTTGCTTGTAGATGGGCTCCCCTTAAGCTAAATAATTACATCCCTATTCCCTGAAATTCTTCCAAAACAACCTTTAGTATAAAGAAAATACAAATTTTAGCTTAAATCAGAATGTATGTCTGCCATGAGACATTTTTATAAAATATAAGCATAGTTAGCTATATGAACATTTGAACTAGGAACATTTTCATTACTTGGCATGGATTTGCAACCTGGTTTTGATCAAAATTTATAGCCTTAAAACAGTGCCATAGAAAATGTCCTAAATAAATCTAAGACTATTTTTACCAAAAGAAAGATCCCACTTGCAACTTCAGCTGCCTGTCACCACTACAGACCAAGTTTTAATCAGTTCCTTAGTCTCCCCGGCCACACAATAGCATAAACAGGAGTTTAGGTTACAAGAGAAGATGGCAACAACATTCGTGCAAACGAATGTAAGCAGATCATAAAACCAGACCCAACATCTCAGACCATCTGGTTTTATTTTCATAGAGCATCATTCCAAACCTCAGAATCAATACATACCCACTCACAGCAGGAAAAAGGACATTTCCATTACACATATTTATTCAGAGGACTTAGAAAAATAAGTACACAGTTTATTTTTACCGTTCATTATAAGGAATGTTGTTGAATGTCAGTTTATCTGAACACATTACATTAAATTGACTTCTAGAGATCTGTTACTGAGATGTACAATATGCTAGCAAAGGTGCCAGGCAAGACAAGAACAAGGAAAAGTAAGCCTGCATCTTGCTACTCGAATGATGAACAATATCATCAAGAAAACAAACTTTTTATAAGATCACAAGGAGATATTATTTTCTCAAGGTTTCTTAGCAGTTTTTATTTTTTCAGGACTTTCAGTGAAAGGTGTGTATCTTGGATGAAAAGAAACAAGATGTATGTAAATTCAGTCATTCACATTTGGGTACAAGACAGCAGATCTCAAGCAGGGACATACTAGCTTCTACCCAGGACAAAGACACAGTGCTGGGCACCACCTGTTTGAAGCACAGCAGAGGAGTTGGCAGGAGAAACGGGGCTGGAAGAAGGCCGCAAAACTGTGTGGCATGTGAGGGGCTTCAGCTGAGCAAGGGAGCAGGCACCGAGAGCAAAACCCAAAGATGTGCATGGCTGCCAAGAGTGCAAGAGCCAAGACACTGTCTCCCTGCCATTGCCATCCAGCCCTGAAACCCTGAAGCTCATCTAAAACTCCTGCCAGATTCTTGACCTCTGCTGCTCTATTCCCAGCCCAGTCATCTTCTAGCTATAACATCATTCACATGTCCCCATTGCCCAAACTTATTCCAAGCACCTCTGCCTCTCAATTTGAAAGACATTACCTAAGTAGCCTCAAAGCACAGAGTGCAGCACAGCTGCTCTGGGTGGGGAGAGAAACACAGGGAAACAAAAGTCTCAGTCACCAAGAAAACTTTTAAATAGTCTGACTTACCTGGATTGCAGCACGTTCGTTTCACACAGCAGAAAGTTGCTGGCTATAGACTGTGGGATCTGGTATTTTCAGTCCAGGAAAACACACACTGGAAATAGCAGCAGAGTCTGTAACCAACAGACACAAGGACAAACAACAGATTAGCTGGAAGGAAACAGAAGCTACGACTGGATGCTTTTTACTAGCAGCAAACAAAAGGAACAATAAACAAGCCAGATAATAATGCAGAATTTCCCCACTGGGACCATAGCTGCTGTTAATAATTCCATAACAAAACCACAATTAGTAGACACACTTTGGAATAGAAAGCGGTAACAAAGTCAAAAGGGCCTTGAACAACCTAGTCTAAGTCGGTCTTAAGCAGGTGACTGATCCAAATGACCTCCAGAAATACCCCATCCAACCTAAATTCTCTATTAGTAACCCAGAAAACAGAAGTTACTGTACTAGAAAAAGATGCCAAAAGTTCAGTTTCAGTTTTACCCATATACCAAATACCAAGTTATGAAAAAACCAATGCAAAAGATACCAGTCATGTTCCCAGTTTGGTTCAGGTCAGAAGCACTAATTCATCCCAAGTACAGACACCACAGGCAGCAGCAATAGGAACTGCATGGCTATTAAATACTCTTGCCCTAAGTACTGTATGTACTTGTGTATGTACACATAGTGGAATACAGACTTGGCATCAGTGTCTTGATATCAAAGGAAAGCTGGGTTTTACCAGTGGACCTGACTTCACAAGACAACATAAATATGTCTATTTGAGAACACAGGAATTTCAGACCATTTTAAGACAAGTTTGATTTTCTTGGGGTTTTTTTTTGTGAGATGATCTAGAAATTCTACATGGTTCCAAACTTGACAATGAGTTTTAGCCTTAACTCATAACCAGTTTCTCTTGTGTCTACATCATCCTTTAAGCAATTCTATACCCTAATGTTTCTCTCGTATGCTGATACTACCATAATTTATCAACTTGAGTTTTCAACCACTGCCTCCTGCCTGGTGAACTTCTGCTGGTCTTACAAACATCCATGTTGATCCTCACCACTCATATCTGGATCTGTCCATGTCAACACTGCTGCCCTCCAGGGTTTCCCATCTTTCCATTTCAATGCCATCCCTAGGAATGATCAACTTCCACCACACACCAGCTGAGGCAGTAAAGAGCTGTTATGCAGCCAGTCACCCCCAGTGCTTCTGTAGCCACGCTGGACAATTCCTCTGATGGGTCAGTAGCCAGGGCTTACCTCCCTTACTGTATACATCACGCTACACACATCTACACATCTTCTTACCAGAAGTAATCTAAAATTGCTGTTGGTTCCTGCTCTGGTAAGCTATTGATTCAGCCTTTCCCTCATTTACCATCCAGAAAAAATCTTCCCCGTAAACCTCCAACTACAAGGGCAAGGCTCTGCAGACAGACATCTCCAGACTGCAGACCTCAGAGAAGTTAAGTATTATTTCTAAATAACATAAACAAGTTGATTTGTAATCTATGACTGCTCTCTCCAAGCAAGGCAATTTCTGTATATTCCATTGTCACTCTTCAAAGTTTTAAATAAGCCTCAGGCAGCATCTCCTGATTTTACACTTTCTCTGACCATGTCTCTCAAGTCAAAGCGCCCTTTCAACACCTGAAAGATCCCTACAGAGAACACCACAATTACAAAGACAACAGGCAAAGAAAAAGAATTCCAGGCTAAGTATCCAACTAGGGATGGAATCACTCTGTCCACCCGAAGTATGGCTAAGACCCAATTCACAAGTCTTCCAACAATGACACAAGCCTCTTCACTTTTCTGGACTGCAGAAAAGTCTCTGGAATACCACTGATTGCCTTCCTTAAATGACACAGCTTTTATCATGATTTCAGTGACATCTATAAATATTTCTATGTAAAACTTGTCACAAGCATGTTCAGTGTAACCTGGGAGTGTGACCTGCTACACTGGAAGTGTAGTAATACATCAGTAAATGTCACTAATGTTTATACATTTCAGTAGTCCCATGGTCTTTCCATTAGACTAAGTGGAAATGCAGAAAGGTTTATTAGAGAGGGAACTGTGTACATAGTCCAGTGTGGGTTTTACAGTAGCCACGTAGCTAGGGCAAACACAGGAGCTGGTACAGAAGGACAGCCGTGCCTACAGGTGCGGTGTGTACACAGGAACAGTAGTTGTGGTAACCCCACTTCCTTTAAGACAGGCATTGTTCTTGCACACTGTTCTCATGCTCACAGCTCAGCTTTGGCAGACTGAAGAGGGAACAAGACAGCAGTCAAAGATGACTAAACTCAGTAAGTTTTCATAACTGTATTTGTAGTACCCAGTATTCCACAGCTTTATTTTTAAAAACCACTGACCTCCTGTTTTCTTTAGAAAAACCAAAGTTTCCCCTTGTGACTAAACTCAGAGCTGAATGCTGATGCTGCCCCTGGTCCCACTATGCTGGTTCTGGCTGGGGAAGCACAAATTGTTAGTAGAGGACAGTGCTGGGAACAGCTGACACCAACTGCCCAAAGGGATATTCCAGACCACATGATACCATGCTCACCAATCAAACTAGAAGGAAGCCCCAGGCACTGCTCAAGGACTGGCTGGGCATCAGTCCTTTGGTGGTAAGCAGTCGTTTACATTTGCATTGCTTGCCTTTCATAGGTCTTATTTCTGTTATTTTTCTTTACAATTATTGTATTATTTTTATTTACTTCAATTATTAACCTGTTTTTATCTCAATCTATGAGTTTTCATACTTTTACCCTTCAAATTATCTTCCCCACCACACCTGGAGGGAGCAGGTGAGCAGCTATAGGGTACTTAGCTGCCAGCTGGTGTTAAACCACCACACACAGCTGCTTCTGCTGCACGGACACTGCTTGACCAAAGACCATCCTCAGCTCTGCTTTGCTGAGGAGCAAGTTCTAAGAAGTCAGCACCTCCTCATAGATTTAAAAGTGTTTGCGATCACAACTTCTCACATGAACACGTCTAGTGATGATATTTCACGTTCAATCCTTACTTTTAAATGATGTTGCATTTAAAACACCACTTGCACCACTGACTAGTTTTGGACAGCTGGTTCAATTTTAAAATGACAGCTTTTTCACCTTGCCCTATCCCTCTTCCTGAAAGCAGATGCAAGCATGTCTCAGGACTTCGCAGCACTTGGCAGTATCCCTGCCTTGGCAAGCGCCTCTCCTGTGCCTTCCTTCTCACCTTTTAGTATTTAAATCTGAAACACAGATAATATTTACCAAGTACTACAGTGAATGGTGTAAAACTAAAACCATATATCAACCCCTTTAAGTTATCTATTAAAACAGAAATGAAAATACAAGATGACATCAGGACTACAACACAATCTCTTCAAAATACTTATTGTGGAGGTAACCACAGCTTCAGCTTCTGAACTTAATTTAGCTAGCATTCCTGATGCTTTAAATGTCACCTCTGAAAAGGTATTTGAACTATTCCTTCATACAGCCGGTGCAAACATGCATGTCAATCCTGAGCACTACTTGAAGATTAGCCTGGGGACAAGAGAAAGAAGGCAACGACCCACCCCTCTGCTTGGAATGAAGAAAAAAAAGGAAGAAAAAAAAAAAAAAAAGAAAACCCAACAAAAAACCATCGTGGACAACACAAACACACTGTTGCCTTTCCCCTACTCTCTTACTAAAGTCTGGCATTTGATTTAGTCCATTAAAATTCCTACTCTTGATTTCTTCACTAGAAATCCGAAGCTGCTCTCTTAAACACCAGAGGTAATTACAGGGGCTCCCTGCACAGCAGGGTCTGAGGCAGCTGCTGGTCAGCAGCACCTGGAATCAAACACCGAGTGAAGGCTAATTCTTTTTATCCATCAGGTTCATCGGAGCACTTGGAATTTTTGCAGCAAGACCTAACAGAGCACTTTGTTAGGCCACTATCCCAGTTATCTGAACTCCAGGCAGTAACTTCCCAGTTTAAGATACTATTTCTCAGCAGGTTGGTACAGTTGTGTAAATTCCCCAGGCGCTCATGAGAGAATAAAATTCAGCAATAATTACCCAAAAGCCTACGCCATATTACTATTTTAGGACATCAACCGGGGCTACTTGGGTCACACTGCCTTTTACACTGACAAAATCGAAATAATCCTGTGAGCTGCTTCAACACGGGTCCCAGTAACCCCCTCCCCGGAGCAGGGCAGGGCCGTTTTCCTAGGTCGGCTCCTCAGCGCAATCCCTGCCCACCGGGCGGCTTTCCGCCCGGCTGCCGCCCGCGACGCTGGGGTTTCGCTTCCCTCGGCCCCGGCTCTGGCCCCGCCGGCCACAGCCTCTCCCGGCCCGATTGCCCACCGGCACCGCTGGCTCCCGCAAAGCCCCAGCTGTCCCCATCGCCCCGGGCAGAGAGCGGGTCCGGGAGCGGTGCCCGGCGCTGCGCCCCCCGAAAGCCTCCCACCGCCGCCTTCCCTTACACCTCGCGGGTCCCGTCCGGCAGCAGCCCGGGCGCCCCCAGCATCGCCCGTAGGAGCCGCGCGGCCCTCACCGCTCCCAGCGGGCTCGTGCCTCTCCTCCTCGCCGCTCGGGTGAAGCCACCGTCCCGCAGGGATTGTCACGTCCCTTCCCGTCCGCACCTTGCCCTCCCCTTCCCTCGAGGCCGGGGCAGGTGCCGCGGGACCTGCCCCTGGGAACAGCCCCCCTCCCCCGGACCTACCGACACCGCTCCCGAGCGCCGGCGACAGGTAAAAGGAACAGTAGAAAGGTCCGAGGGAAGTACAGCTGTGACCCACGCCCACAGCCGAAATTGGCGTCAGTGCTGCAGGCTTCGCAGCTCCTGCGAGAGGGTCACCCGGGTAAAACAAGCAGTCTTCAACTTCCCCCCATCAGCGTTGCCAGACTCCACATTTTGTCGGACAGGAGGAAAACCCCTCCCCTAATCCTACCACACCCGTTAGGTTAACAGGATCAGTAATTTCAGACATGCAAAACCCACATAGTGGTTAAAGGAACAGTGGTTTTAACTAGTGCCTCTACAAGCAATTAGACTGAACTCAGTCTTTGGCAGATACAGAGGATATCACTCCTTCCTCTAGCCGGCCCAACAGCTCAAACAGAAAATTAATTACTGGCCAGACCGCTGGAAATGATTCAGAAAGGACTGCCTCACCTGCTAGAGTTTAGGTGCACCCGTTGGCAAGAGCTGGTATTTAAGTTCTTTAGTCTACTTTAGTCTGAAGGAGTCAATAACCCCTGCGCTCAGCAGGGATTGTGCTTTAGACCTTCTGGCTGAAAGCATCTAAAATCTGTTAAAAATCTATCTTTGTGGTTAAATTCTTTTTCAGACCTCACCCTAAGTAACATGTATAAAGCTTCAATTCAAACCCATCCCAGAGCCAGGATTCGAGTTTCATAGGACAAAAGGGGCTCTGTCCCCAAGTGACAATAAGCTCAACAGTGAGCTCTGCAGTCAGTGACCTACTGAATTGCGTGATGGGCACTTAGGGGGTTCATCAGTTGTTGGAGTATGAGGGCTCTTGGCATAATATTCCCAGTCCTGTGACTGGAAAGGCTGGGGGGCCCCCCCCCGCGAGTTGTGGAGAGCGGAAAGGGAAGGGGAGTGAGGGAGGAAAGGGGCCGATTCAGCAGCATTCAGTCCTTCCTATGAGTCAGCATTTGAACCTGAGAGTGGGAAAAGACTTAGAGGTAAGTTTTTTTCATAATCAAGAAGCCTGTGTATTTTGTCATCACACTAATTGCAGAGCACCAGTAGATGTCAGTTTAGCCCCAAAAATGAATGAACACTGGGTTTATTAGCTTTTGCTCTTACAATAGTAAGTTTCCATAAAAGACAGTAAGTGAAATGTTGAAGCTGACACACATTTAAAAGCCTTTAGCTACATTTTACATGATGGAATATGCCCTCAACATGTAAAATCAGTAAACTGTAATGTCAGCTTGTATTCCTCCGGCTTGGAAGCTGTAGAGCTTGCACATGTACAAAGCAAGGGAGGGTGTCATTTTGCATAAACTGATTTTTTGAGGCTAGAAAATAATTTTTGTGAGGTTTGATAGTTTCAGTACTGGAATCTTAAGGAGAGTTGTGCCAGAATGCAGTTTCAGACCACTAATCAATGTACACATACAGATTCAGAGAAAGCAACCCAGGTAAAGTCAAATAATGTAAAGGAATGTTTGTTACACACAGTTGCAATGTTTAACGGGGTTAAAGAAAAAAAGGACCCAAACAGCAGTACCACCTAGAAGAGTAACACTTCCAAATATTTTGGAAGATTTATGTTTTAATGAGCCAAACCAGACCAAAAATCCAAGTTTACCATTTCTACATAATTCACTGCTGCAGGCATCAACTGGTTAAAGAAAACCTACTTCGAAGTCCCAAGGGCATGAACTGCCAGATGGAATCAATACTGATGAAGAAAAAAATTATTTACGTTTACAGTGTCAGGTGGTGCTCCACCAAAATTCAGCTGCTGCCCATGGGAATGCCGACTGCCTGAGAAAGCAGATCATGAAGTTTGATTTAAATGGTATAGCTTAGCACAGATTTAGCTAATCCTACATCTTATAACATGTCTGAGTGGAGAGCTAATAATTCCATCTGATGTAAGAAATAATGCATCAATTAAAACCGAAACAAAAACCCTATACCACCACAAACCAGTAGTACCGCTTGCTATTACATCATCTGATTTCTAGTGACTTGGGTCAAACTTTTTAACCAATAATAAAATACACAACTGTCAGTACCACAAGTGTAAATCAATATTGTATTCTACAGGTACAAATGAAGATGTTCTGCAGCCTCTCCATCTAACAGCGGCTAATCTTCAAAGAAGATTTTTTCTCTCTGACTAGCCAAGCAGCCGTGTGACACAACCTGTGAGGTTCACACTCCAAGCCTCAAGGCTGAAAACAAGATACATGTTCCACATTTCAGTGTAAAGTGTGTGTTCACATTGCTGAGATGCCCTAGAAACATTGGCAATACTTGGATGTCATGAGCTGGGCACACCATTTGCCCAGATGAGATTCAGTTACTTAAGTAGTTCCTTTATAATAGATGGGAGCATAAAACCAGGAATTTTGGCTCTTTGAGAAAAGCCTCCCTGTTGGGGTGTTAGCTGCTCTTGGACGCCAGACCACTGAAGGGAGAGAATATATGAACCTCTGAGACTGCCTGCGGACAAACAAAACTCACATGCTAGCCATAGCAGCAAACACACACCCTTTGAGGGACTTGACAAAGGTGGTGTTTGCATACCTACATGTGTGTAGCCACAAAACTCAATTTGAATATCCCTACTAAAGTACCAACAGCACCCTTATTAGCACCCAGTAATTATAAGTTAACTTCAGTGCAGGGAAAACTGATTTCCACTTCTGCATGTTCCTCTCCAAGCCCATTGGGTAGAGGATCAACAGCTAAAGGAACCTAAACAAAAAAAAGGAACTTAAACAAAAGCCTCAAGCTTTTGTTGAGTTCAGGGCTAACGGTTTCATCAGCTTCCAAATCCACACTATAGTAACTTCAGCACTTTGATTGTACTATGCAGACAGCTTCAGTTTTATTCTCTAAGCTACTTTTAACAGAAAGTGCACATAAAAATGTCTGCAGTAATTAAGACTAAGTACTGCCATAATATACTTCCTCTCATGTACTACTACAGAAATACTAATAGCAAAATACTTCAGAGCTATAACAATGCAATTATTAACAGCTTGTAGAGACAGACATAGGTAATACTGCTGTGTTGCTTCTGCTTGGGTGAGCACTGGCCCTGTTCAGCATAAGCAATTACATTGACACATCTAGTTTTTCAAGAATTTTATAAGTGCCAAATTCATTTGAAAGTACGGTCCAGTACTTGATTGGGTGAGCAAAAGCAGAGCCTGGGTTTTCATGCTGCCAGGACATGGGTTACCTTGAATGCTGGTTTCCAAACACTTGGGCTTTGAAAAACAGATGTGATGGGGGCTGTGTAATGTTGATCTGGGAGTTAATAAGTTCAGCTTAAGTTCTCTCCAAATAAATTCTGTGTGTGACAGAGGGGAAGGGAGAGAAAACAGAGTGCCCCAAATACTCCCTCCCTTTCAGAAGTTACTTTGTGAAGATAAATACCCCATGACTGACAGCATCATTGCTCACATTCATGTATCAAAACAAAACTATTGCTCCACATCAATATGGAAGTAGTAGAGAAAACAAAACAATAAAACCCCTTGTGACAAATAAATGACTGTCAGCTCCCAGGCACATGTTATCTTACATAAAACTATCTTCTTTCTCAGTTCCCACTTTCTTTCAGTGTCTTTAACACTTTCCCTGGTGATCTCCCCCCCTCCCCCCCAGTGTTGGAAACCAATGGAATGAAAAGGGTGAATTCTGAAAAAGTTTTGAGCTTTCTAATTGTTCTCAGGTCTCCTCACCCCACACCTCCCTTCACACGAGCCACTCGGACACTTCTGCTGGTGCTGTCTGGTGAGGCTGAGCTTTTCCTGGCTGCAGCTGCCCATTTACTGATACCTTGGGCAGGTCAGGAGCTCCTTATCCTAGAAGCTGTGTGCTTGGTGAATGCATGGAGGTGGGCTTCCCTGCCTCCACAGAGCAGGGACAGAGGCCAACTCTTAGCTCAAGGTACTGCAACAGCTCTTCTGGACACTAAACATTTGCCATCATCTTTCCCAAGCATCCTCCTCACTATATGTGCCTTGCTTAGCATGCCCATTAAAGAAAAAAAGACTTATTTCTTTCATCTGCAAGTTGGTAATGTCTGGTAATATGTTTGTGGAAGATTAGAATATGAATGGATTTATTACATGAAACAGAAGTAGCATATCGAGTCTGAAACTGCAAATGATCCCCCAGGATTGCAGTTGGTTGACAGCACTGCTAAATGAATCCAAACCTGAATATTAACACTTTACTGTTTTTCTTTTCCTATTCCTTCCTTCTTAATTGCCAACTCCCATAGTGTTATTTGATCATCATAACAGCTAGCAACATCTACCAAATTGCAAAACACTGTTCCACACTATAGCAAAACATTTAAGTATGTAAATCATATCATCTTCCCTAGAGAACAACACAGCAGGGTGGTGTCCAAAGAGGCAATGATAGATTTTACCCAGAACACTTGGCACTACATATAAAGAATTACAAGGAGAATAGCCACTCATTGCCAGTAATGGTTCTCCTAGTATTAACAATCAAAAAGAAATAGCTATAATAGAAAAGTTTTCCATGTTAAAAAGGCAGCTCTGTCCTGATTAAGTGATCATTATTTGATGGATTCCCTAATGGAATCAGAAAACAGAGAAGAAAATTATGATTCTCCAACTATGTACCCTTCAAATTCATCTTCCTACTCCTGTGACAGGGTGCAGGAAGGAGAAAATTTTAAAACTGAAGCTGCCTGATTATTTTTCGTATAGACAGAACTGAAGCATGATTTGAACTGTTGTGAAACTGCTGAACGAAGCAGTGCAAAAATCCTGCTCTCTCACACTTCCTCCAGAGTAATACCTGACATACTGTTCAGTCAGGCTGTGGCATAGTCTTGGCTGTATATCAGCTTTGCTGGCTCATGTTGTATTTGGCCACTGAAACCACTCACCTAAACCTCACATTTAAGCTTTCTGTTGTT